GATGCTTATGCTGCTTGCTGTCCTCTGAGGGACAGAGTCTCTGACCCAGGAGTCTCATGTCCTTTGGCTGCATCTAGAAGACAGACTAACTTTGGCAGCATCCAGAAGACAGTAACAGACTAACTTCTAGATCCTACATTGTTTGCCATCATTTTTATAAACTTTGGAAATCTTAGAATTTTGGCAAAATCTGTAGTCTCACTCATTGTTCATAAGCCGTTATGGTGAAGGACACACTTGTGAATGGGGACTATATTTTGTAAGTGATCAGTCACTAGTATGTTTAAAAACATTTTTTTGATTGAGATAATCATATAATAAAGCACACAAATTTTAAGTGTATAGTTAAATGAACTTCCACGTGTGTGTGTGTGTGTGTGTGTGTGTGTGTGTGTGTGTGTGTGTATACTCATGTCATCATCACCCAGATCAAAATATGGAAAATTTCTAGCTCCCTAGAAGGCTGCCTCATGACCCTTCTTAGTACTGTTCTGGCCTGTGATGGCATAGGTTAGTTTTGCCTGTTTTTGAATGTTGTATAGATGGTATAATGTGTAATCTTTCCCTCAGTATATATGAGAATTCTCCATGTTTAACATATATTAGTTCTTTTTGTAGTTTGAAGTATTCCATTTTATGAATTTATTACCAGTATTTACCTGCTCTACTGCTGATGAATATTTGGGTTCCAGTTTGGGACTATGATAAATAAACTTGTTAGGGACATGTACTTGTTTTTTGGTGGACACAGCACTCGTTTCGTTGGATATATACCTAGGAATGGAATTGCTGGGTCATAGGGATCTATGTTTAGCATTAGTGGATACTGTCAAACAGTTTTCCAGAGTGACTGGACTAATTTATATTCCTACTAGCAATATATGAGAGTTCCAGTTGTTCTGTTTTATCATGAACAGTTAATCTTTTTTTTTTTTTTCTAAGTGTAGCCATTCTGGTAGGTAGAGAGTGAGATTTTACTGTGGTAGTTTTTGTTTTCTTTTTGCATTCATCTGATAACTAATGATGCTGAGCCCATTTTCCCATCCAGTGGATATTTTAATATTCTCTTTTGTGAAGGATCTATTCAGATCTTCTGCCTATTCACTAGTGAATTTTTATGATGAATTTTTCTTCCTTTTGTAACTTGAGACTTAGATAACAAGTACTTGGGTAGTTTGCACATAACACTTTACCAGTTTGGGAAGTATAGAAAACATTTTTAGAAATAATTTTATTAAAAGTGCTAAATTTTTTAGTCATTCCATATTTAAAGAGTTGAATGTGAGAGTTGCTCCTCTCCCTGTGCTAGTTTTACTAGTAGAAGTTCTAGGTTTTTAAAACTGACATCTATTTTTTTTTTTTTTTTAAGCTAATCTCTTGAAGTTTAACTAATGGCATACCCATTCACCAAAGTCACTGGCCTTTTCTTTGTTTACATTTGTTTTAAACTCTCCTATATGTTAAATCTTCTGCAGTACCACTGTATCTAATTCTATCTTTTTAATAATGCATTATCAGTAACTCATTATCAGGAAACTCTTTCCTAAAAGTGAACGTTTTCTAATATTTAGGCGTTTACTTACTGTTCTTTTCACTCTTTTGAAAACTTGTTTTTATTGTTTCAGCTCTTTGTATAAAATCTTAAATCTGCTTATCATCTTTACCTTGCTAAACTTGTATCTCCAGTCGTGACCTTTTCCCAGTGGAGTTTACCATCATATCTACTGACAAAGCTACCTTCTGAATGTTTTTAATTCTGTGGGTAGAATTCTCATTTTATCATTATCTTAGTCAACATGGATTGAAAATTTGAAGTTATCTCTAATATCAAGATACAGTTAATAGAAAAATCAGTAACCATTCATTAAGTATCATAGTGTATGGTATGGCACATGGAATGGTCCAGGTGCCAAAGACTACTTCTTATAAGGATTTTGTACTGTATTTGGGAAGTTAAGATATTATTAATGTCTTATTAATTAGTTTTTATGATAAATATTCAATGACCAAAGCCCCTTCAGCATGGGATGGTAAATGAAGTCTTCATAAAAAGGAATAGATTTGAGCTCATCGTTAAGAATGACTAAGATTTTTCTTGGAAGACACAGATGGGCAGAGGGGCAGGGATTTGGATTGGATCAGAAGGTGTGTTTAGAGGAACAGTAGTGGGTAAGGTTAGATTAGTACTGGATCTAGCCAGTCTCTTAACTCTTGTTTATTCTTTCTGAATACTAATGATTATGATTCATTTTTGAATAACATTGTTGAATTTGTAAAGCTTGTGTTAGCTAGGCATTATTTATTCAAAATTTTAGTGACTTAGGAACCATTATCTCTATTTTACAGAAAACTTAATAGGCTTTGAAAAAGTGATACTAGTAAAGAACAGAATCTGGTGGACACAGTGGCTCAAGCCTGTAATGCCATCAACTTGGGAGGCTGAGTCTGGTGTGTTTATTTCCAGACTTGTTTTTGTTTTCTCATATTGTAGGTATCCATAAATAACAATTTTTTTTGTTTTGTTTTAAGGTTAATATAGATACCCTTAGAAAGGTATATACATTATTCCAGGTCCAGGAGATCCAGTGGTTTTGACGGCAAATGAGACTACCTGTATACTAACATTTCGTTAGGGAAAACATAAAGTAAATAAACACAATTGATGATGTAGTATCAGACTAGGGTAAATGCTATAAAAAAATGAACAGGGTTGGGGATAGAGAATGTTATGGGAATGGGCTGTCATGCTATTTTCAATCAAGTGGTCAGGGAATTCTTCTCTTTCAGGAGGTGACCTTTGAGCAACTAAATTAATTTGATGAGTAAGCTGTGTTAAGTTATCGGAGAAGAGAATTTCAGGGGAGGAAACATCAGATGCAAAGGTCTTGAGGTAGAAATAACCTTAGAGTACTTGAGAAATGGAAAGAAGTTAAGTGTGGTTACATGCAATTAGTTAGGATAATGGTTAAGAAATGAGTAAGGAGAAGCCAAGGGCTTGGTCATGTATGATACTGTATTCTGAATTCTGGTCTTGAAGCTCTTTCTTTTTGCCTCCCTCTTCCTTAACTGTCTCTCTGTTGCTCAGACACATACTCTCTCACACATATGTACACCACCCTTTCTAGCCCTCATTGTATTCTAGTGTTCAGGAATAAGGTATCAGTCAGCCAGGCCTGTCTCTTATCTGGCCTAGGAAATGCTCTGTTGATATCTGCCTATATATTTTTTTGGTCTGTGTCTCTTTGCCTTTGACATTTCCCATCTCATCTCAGACAAACAAACCAGGTTTTACTTCTTGACCTAGATGGATTTTATCATACATCCTTGATGTAGATGCAACTGAGGTCAGCCCTTCTTACAGTTCGTTTAGTACATAACAATTTATATTCTGTTCGTGACAATTATGCTTTCATTCTCTTTGTTATATTTCTCTAGTTTAATGTGGCTAGTTTTGTTTGCCTAGCAACAATCATCCTACATAGGGCTGGGGTGTACAAGGCACAAGGCATATCCATACATAAGGAGTATATCTTCATTTTCCTGTGCTCTTCCCTACCATGGTTCCAGCATAGCAGACTGGATAGCTGCCAGTAGTTGATCAGCATCCAAAACTGTATCTGGTACTTTAGTAGGCTCTCAGTAAGTATATTTTGAATGAATCAATTTATTTACTGTTGAGATTAAACCCTACTTGGCATAACATTTTTTTTTTTTTTAAGTCCCATCGGGGCTATTCACAACACATGGGATGTAACAAGCAATCAATAATTGTTTGTTGAGTGTATCTCAGTTTTACTTTATGTTTACATTGTCTTTGTTTATGTTATTGTCTGGGCTTTAACTGAGCACGTATATTCCTTTCTGGGAAGATGCACCCCAGTCCAGAATAGTATTGATGCTAGAATTTTTCAAAGACAGAGCTATAGCATTTGACGATTTTAGGCACAAGAAAGGAAGCATTTTTTGTTACACCCTTTTTCCAAACATTGTTCTTGTTGCTTCAATAGGTACTTATTGTCTGTGGTTGGCTATGTAGTGATCTGCAGGAGATCTTATACACTCTTTTTATTTTTTATTTAGAGATGGGGTCTCACTATGTTACTCAGACTGGACTTGATCGAACTCCTGGGCTCAAGTGATTCTCCCAAGTAACTGGGATTACAGGTGTGTACCACTGAGCCTGGTGATTTTTACCGGCCCTTATCAGTGGAGTGCCTGTCAGTCACTTCCTCCTGTTGTTGTCACCAGAAACTTCTTTAATGGTACAGAACAGTAGTTTGCCTGGAGCAGGTTCATTAACCAATATGCTTAAAATATCATTTAAGCCAATAGGAATTATAAAATTAGAAACTGACCCTTTTTAAAATGAATTTATTTTCTTTAAATCTATTCAACATACTTAGTTTTAAAAATAGGTATTTGCCATTTTACTGGTAGTTATATTTGTTATAATTTATGAGGATTTTGTACGTCTTGCACAACCTTGAATACAATTTGCATCCAATAATGTGACTTCAGTAGTATCATGGCTTTTATCCAAACCTTCTCAGTCTGGGAAACATTTAAAGAGAATAATGACCTTAGAGAAGAGCTGGATTTCCTTAAGACTTCTGTTCAGATCAGGACATAATCTTATGTTCAAGACTGACATAGTATATAACATGGATTTCAATGAAGAAAAGTACTTCAGAATCAAGTTTTAGAGTTTAGTGGCCTAATCAAAAGGAGTCCAGAGGCTATTTTTGGATAATACATAAGAGGTAGAGCAACCTGGTTTTGCTTTTAGTTACCTTTCGACATGGCCAGTGTCCTACTTGTTCATATTATGGAGAAGGAATTGAGTGGTCACAGAGCTTTTGGAGAAAATTTATCACTTTTTGTTACCTTTGTAATGCTTTTCTGTTCTTGTTTAATAATAACATACCTTTCAATTATATTAATTTAAATGTGTATAAATTGAATTGATTTAAACTAGGATCCTTTCCCCCTTTCTCTTTCAGGACTTGAACCAATGAAAGAAGCATATGGCACTTCTGAAGATAAATGTCACTCCTCCCTTTTTAATTGGAACTTCCGCTTAGGACCTGTGTATGACGTTTCACCTGTGATCTGTACTTTTCAGTAGCCACTGACTTTGAGTTACAGCAAGGTCTCTGAAGATTTGTATCAAATGACGTCAATGGCCAGCTTGTTTTCTTTTACTAGTCCAGCAGTAAAGCGATTGTTGGGCTGGAAACAAGGTGATGAGGAGGAAAAATGGGCAGAAAAGGCAGTTGATGCTTTGGTGAAGAAGCTAAAAAAGAAAAAAGGTGCCATGGAGGAACTGGAGAAAGCCTTGAGCAGTCCAGGACAGCCAAGTAAATGTGTCACTATTCCCAGATCTTTAGATGGACGCCTGCAAGTTTCTCACAGAAAAGGCTTACCCCATGTTATATATTGTCGTGTTTGGCGCTGGCCTGATTTGCAGAGTCATCATGAGCTAAAGCCGTTGGATATTTGTGAATTTCCATTTGGATCTAAGCAAAAAGAAGTTTGTATCAACCCATACCACTATAAGAGAGTGGAGAGTCCAGGTAGGTCTTACTCCTGAGAAGAATTTGGAAAAAAAAAAAAAAAAAAAAAAAAAAAAAACAACTCTTCCTGATATGTATGTAACTAAATTTAGTAATAAAAGGTTATATAGCTTTGTGTTTCCATCAATTATTCTAATCTTAGAAGAAATACTGGATTTTGAGTTTAGCTTTTTATATGTAGGTGATACAATTCTCAGGTAGCTTACTCTAATTCATTATTCACTGTAAGCACCCATATATCTCCTCTGCCTTTTCCTGTGGGTGACCTGTCTCTGTTTTATTTAAAGCCTAAGCTGCAAGTGTGTACTATATCCTATTCCTTTTTGTCTAATTAAGAACTTTGTTCCTACAGTTATCATCCTTCTCTCCATCACTATATTTTCCCTTTCTATCAGAGTATTTCTGATAGCATACAAGCATGCCATGATCCTGCCTATCCTAAAATAAAACTTAAAAAAATTCTGCTTTCCATGTCATTCACATACCCCCAACCACAATCACAGCACTATTTCTATTGGTCCTTTTATAGGATTCTCCATTTTTATTATCTCCACATCTTTATGTTTCATTTTTTCTTGTCACCTCTCTAGTTAAGTCTTTCTTTCCTGCCATTTAACTTGTCAGGATCACTAGTGACTACCTTTTTATACATCAAGGAGTCATTTTTCAGTCTTACTGTCCTCTCAACTGCATTTGATACAACCGATCTCCTTCCATCCTACTCAGAAGTTTTTGTGTTTGGCTCCTGAGACAGAATGCAACCTTGGTTTTCCTACCTCACTGGCTGTTCGTGTCCCTCTTTGCTGGCATATTCTTTGTTGTCACAGGAGTCAGTCCATGGACCTTTTCTCCATTTATATTCTTTCTTTATATGCTTTCATGCTGTCACATGTCTTAAGATTGTCTATAAGCTGATGCTCACACTTTGGACTTGAGTCAGCTTCACCCTTGAGTTTTAGACTTGTCTATCCAGTTGCCTACTTGACACGTCCACCTGAATATTTATTAAACATACCAGATATAATATGTCTAAGCAAAACTTCAGTTTTTTCTCTGGTTTTTCCTATTGAAGTAAATGGCAAAAGCATTCATTTAATTGCTAATGCCCTAAACCTCAAAGGCCATCTTTTCTTCTTACTTGAGTCCTGTATTTTAGTTATGAGCAAGTGCTGTTTGCTGCACCTTCAAAATATATCTTGATAATGTCACCTCTCACCATATCTAACAATGAAAGAAATGATGAACATAAGGAAAATAGAGGGCCAACCTAGGTGGTCCTAGGTATTGTTGAATACAGTGGTCTTTAACCTTTTTGGCACCAGGGTCTAGTTTCATGGAAGACAGTTTTTTCATGGAACAGATTGGGGGATGGTTTGGGGATGATTCAAGCACATATGTATTGTGCACTTTATTATTACATTGTAATATGTAATGAAATAATTATACAGTTCACCATAATGTAGAATTAGTGGGGGCCTTGAGCTTGTTTTTCTGCAACTAGATTGCCTCATCTAGGGGTGATGGGAGACAGTGACAGATCATTAGGCATTAGACTTTCATAAGGTGTGGACAACCTAGATGCCTCAAATGCTCTGTTGGCAATAGGATTTGTGATCCTGTGAGAATCTGATGCTGCCACTGATCTGACAGGAGGTGGAACTCAGGTGGTAATGAGAGCAATGGAGAGTGGCTGGAAATATGGATGAAACTTTGCTCATTCTCACTTACCATTTACCTCCTGCTGTGTGGCCTGGTTCCTAAGAGGCCATGAATTGGGGGGTTGGGGACCCCTGATCTAATAGACAGTATTGTCTAGTGATTAAGACAGTGGGTTCTGGAGCCAGGCTTTCGGGATTTGATTCCTGGTTTTACCAAATACTACCTCAGGCAAGATACTTAAGTTTCTGAGATTTAGTTTCTTCATTATAAAATGGGAATAATACTACCTACCTAATAGGGTTGTTAGGACTAGATGAGTTGGTGCATTAAAACGTACTTGTTAAAACATTAACTGGCCTGGAATCAGTTTTAAATTAAATATCAATTCTAATAGAATAATCTATTCTGGAAATAGAGCATTGAGGAAAATAGCAGAGAGAAAATTTTCCAAGAAATACTATCAAACAGTTCCCAAAACTGAAAATTGAAAGGGCTCAGTGACCAAGTAATCAGAACAAAGGATAAAAAAAAAAGCCCTCACATGAAATTTTAGTATATCATAGATTAAAAAAAAAGATTCTGAAAAGTTTCAGACAGAAAAGACAGGAAATTTACAAAGGACTGGAAATCAGAATATTGGATTTCTCAATGCAGTTCTGGATTCTGGAAGAAAGTAAAGCAGTGCCCTCAAAATTGAGAGGGAAATGTTATCTGCCTGCAGACAAACAAAAATATAAGATTTTTATAAATGCAGGAAGTCAAGAAAATTTAACTTTTTACTTTCTCTTAGGACACTAAAAGAGGATGCAGTCCAGGAAATGTGATCCAATAGTAGGAAAGTCCAAGGACTTCAGATTTGTAGGAGACTTAAGCAGTAACCCATGTAGATTGCAACAAAAGGATGGAAGATCCAAGGGAAAACATGGAGTGAATAAATTATTTGATTTGTGGTATCCAAGAACAAGTAATAATAGGTGTTAACAGATCTGTTAGAATTCTGGAAATATTAGTGGTATGTACATAAAATTAAATGAAGAAACAGGCAATGGTTAACTTTAGTAAAAACACTGTTTAAGAAAAAAGAGACTCATAGTACACTTGTCTCAGCGATTAATTATATCTATGAATACTGGATATTGATTTAAGCAAAATTTTCTATTTAACTTTATTTTGGGGGATAGGAGTGGGCTAGAATAATATAAGAAAGCTGCCTCATTTGCCCTAAGAGCAAGTCTACACATAATATCTTGACTATTAAAGCCATATAAACATATTATTTAGCAGTACACAAAGTAAATGTTATAATATATGGCTAAGAGTTTAAATTGGTTTTCTATAGAAACAGTATGGGAGGGGGCTAGAAATTGCAGTTTTTGTTATAATCTCTAATAGCATATATCTTTTTTTTTTAACTGTCCGCATACTAACATTATTTTGGATGAATATAAAATAATTTTTAAAATATCATGTGCATAGGTAATGTACAAGTGAAAGAGAAGCCAATGATGCCAGTGATTTTAACATGCCTCTAAAAAAAAAAATAATAAATAAGCAAAGAAATCCTTACTAAACCAAATTCCTGAGTAATTTCACTAAGTCTTTCAGATTGCTAGCCTGCTAAATGTAGAATTTCTTGCTGCCTAATGCCCTACTCTCCAATGGCAGCTATCCCATTGTTCTGTAAGGGGAATAGTAGTTGTTAACACACAGTAGAACAAAACAACTGTAGTCAGATGTGAACCACATACTTAGTATACTAATGCAGTAGAATGAAGTGAAACAATAGACAAAAATAGTACAAATACTTAACAGAAACACTGAATCGTTGTGTACATTCCTACTTCAGGGAGGTGACGTATGACCTAGGTAACTTAAAAACAAACTCATTTTGTTGACGCTGAATGATAACAGGATCAAGTTGAGATTTTTCTAAGTGAAATTACATTGACAGATACAGGACAATTGTTAATGAGATAAATTCTAGTAAATGTTTGAACAATCAGGTTTGTTTAGTTTCCTCTAGGGAAAGGTAATCAGATATTTGAATGTGATTGGTCACTTGGGTCTTTAGAGAAAGTGAATATTTGAATAAAGTTTATGTCTTAAAAATGTATCTGTTAAAAATGTTGAGACTTTTTTGGGTATATTTTCATTATGGTCATACTTAGAAGACTGATTTTGATTGGAAGGCTTTTACCTAGAGAATATTACTATTTTTAGTATGGAAAACCTTACTGAAAAACGTAAAACATGAGATCTTTCAACCTAAGAAAGATCAAAGTGTTCAAAATTGAAAACCTGGAAGTTTTTAGGGCACATTCACATAGCAGGTTTCAACTTTACTCTCTAGTCTTACCTCCTTGTTCAGTGCATAGGCCAACTGACTTTCTCATCATCTCTGCCCACCCCTAGCACTCCCATGTGAAATCCTCCTGGATTTTTAAGGTTCACTTGCGTATGTTTTTTTCCTGCAGTATTTTGTTTGATTCTCTGCTAGCTGGGAGTGTTCACTTCTGTTTAACTCCCATTGTGTTAAATTCTTTGTTTTATGATTGTTTTTTAATATCTTTTATCTCATAGAACAGGAGTGGTATCTTTCTCTGGATTTTCTGTCCTGCAGGGCACCTTATGCAGGCCAAATGCTTACAGAGTTTTGGATTCAGTTATTATGTAAATAAAGATTCAGGGCTCTATAAAACAGCTCTTTCTAAAAGTAGATTTTAAAAAATAGGTTTACAGTCTTACATGAAAACTTTCTACCAACACTTTAGTGTGGATGGGGCATTTGTTTAGTCATTCCTGACAAATGACTTTTGATTTTTTGTTTTTCAGTCTTACCTCCAGTACTAGTGCCTCGTCATAATGAATTCAATCCACAACACAGCCTTCTGGTTCAGTTTAGGAACCTGAGCCACAATGAACCACACATGCCACAAAATGCCACGTTTCCAGATTCTTTCCACCAGCCCAACAACACTCCTTTTCCCTTATCTCCGAACAGCCCTTATCCCCCTTCTCCTGCTAGCAGCACATATCCCAACTCCCCAGCAAGTTCTGGACCAGGAAGTCCATTTCAGCTCCCAGGTAAGACTTTATTTTATTGATACCAAAAAAAAAAAAAAAAAAAAAAATCCCGAAGACTCATATTACTTTGGGCCCTCTGGGTGAACTGTTACATGTAAGGTATAGCTGTTTCTGACTCTGTTCTTTAGATAATTGTTTGATTTCCAGAAGAGTTTAGATTTTATTTGCCAAGTACCATGTGTTTAAGAAAATGGAAGTAGCCCTATTTGACTTAAATATTTTCTTGTATTACTGATACTGTGATGAAAGCTATGGCATTAAATTTAATCTTCAGAATGACTATATGAGATAGATATTCCTGTTTTATAGATGGAAGAGATTCTATAGTAAATTTTAAACTTTAAGTACCTTACCTAGGTTAGGGCCAAGAAGTAGAGGTTTAGACCCGGGTTTGTCTTAACTCTAAAGCCTGTGTTCTTTCAACTTTACTGTGTGGCTTTTCAAATTATTTAAGACTTTAGAAGTTTAAAGTGAATCCAGGTTATCTTTAGATAACTGATGAACTGATTTCACTGGAGAAAGATAAGTAGATTTTGTAAAGTTTCTAAATTTTGTTAATGGCATGTCATGTATGGACATATTATGTCACTGTCAAGAAATATTTGAACACTTACTGCTGTCAGGCAGAGTCATATGTAAGTACAGTAAGTCTTCATGTAATGTCATTGATAACTTCTTGGAAACTATGACTTTAACTGAAACAACATATTACAAAGCCAGTTTTATCATAGGCTAGTTGATATAAACAAGAGTTAAATTCTTGTGGTATATTTCTGGTCACAAAAATATCACTAAATTTATAAATAAAGACCCAAAACTCTTCTACTATTAAACATTGAAGTAAATGTGAGCTCTGCATAATTTAAGAAAGATCAATAAAAAGTAAGACAATTATTTACTTAGTTATTATAATTCACGGTCATGGGTGGCCAGAGCCCATTCCAGTAGCTCAGGGCACGAGGTGGAAACCAATCCTGAATGGGATGTCACTACATCACAGAGTGGACTCACACACACCCCTGCACTCACACTGGGACCATTTAGACATGCCAGGTCATCTAATGTGCATGTCTTTGGGATGTGAGAGGAAACTCGAGTAACCAGAGAAAACCCAAACATGGGGAGAGTGCTCAGACTCACACAGACAGTGGCCCTGGCTGGGAATGGATTTTTTTTTTCTCATCAGTGTCAGATGAGGCTGAACAAAGCAACACTGAACAAAACAACATTATTCGAGGACCTGCAGCATATTCTTTGTGGTTTCTGTACTGCAACAAAATATCAATTGGTATAGCTTTTTCTTTTGAAGATAAATTAAGTACCAGCTGTTTAATTTGCTATTAGGAATTTGCTCAAAAACAGATTTTCATACTTTGTCTTAGATTCAGTGCTGATTAATGTAGTTCTGTCTCAAAATACATTTTGTACAAACATTGGGATGAAAGACAAATTTGGTTGTTATTTATAGTTACTAAGACAAAAAAGTATAACTGTATCTTTTGCAAAAGTTTTCAGCTATATGTGTTGAAACTCAAAAGATTTTATGGTTAATGTTTAGTTTCTGGAGTGAATTACCTAACCATTTAATAGGACACAACCGCCATGTTTGGATGTTGCACAAGCCTTAGACAATTGCTGTTAGTGTTGATGGCAAATTTTGAAGGGACATAGTTTTACTTTGCAGTTTTAAATGACAGTATACAGTATGTGCTGATCTTAATAATTTAAAAGTATTTCTGTAGTATGTATATACCCAAATAAGGATAATCTGTCCTTCAGATTGATTTGTAATAGCTGCAGTTTCTCCGAGCACATAAAAATAAAGGCAAAATTATTGACCTGGAATTTGGTTAGTGAATTTTAGGACTGATCCTTGTATCCTGAATTACAAGGGATCTAGGCTAAATAAACTGAGCTTGTAATAGGTTTTCAATTGCTATTAGGTGTACTGTCTATTCTCTTTTTCCCTTGCCCCTTAGTATCCTGCATTTTCATGTGTGTGATGTTCAGTAATAAAGCTTGCTGGTAATCTTAAGAATTTTCTAAAGCTTTTAGAGTAATAATTTTGAGCAGAATGAGGATTTTAACTATTATTTTTTTCCTCTTAGCTGATACGCCTCCTCCTGCCTATATGCCACCTGATGATCAGATGGGTCAAGATAATTCCCAGCCTATGGATACAAGCAATAATATGATTCCTCAGATTATGCCCAGTATATCCAGCAGAGGTAAGAGAAGTACTCATTTCATTTATTTTGTAGTAGTAGTTGTTTTTAACTTATTGGCTACTTTTTAAAAAATAGCATTATTGAGGTATAATTTATGTGCTATAAAATTTATCTGTGTTAAGCGTATGATTCAATGATTCTGGTAAATATACAGTTTTACTTCACAGTCTAAGTTTAGAACATTTCCATAATTCTTCAAAAAGGTACCTCTGCATATTTGCAGTCTGTCCTCACTCCCATCCTCAGCTTCACATACCCTTTAATGTGTTTTCTGTACCTGTAGATTTATCTTTTCTGAACATTTTATGTAACTGGAATCATGTAATAATGTAGTCTTCTTTCACTTAGCATGTTTTCAAGGTTCATCCATGTTGTAGCATGCATCAATAGTTTGTTCCTTTTTATTGCTGAACAAGTGCTTTATATGAATATATCATATTTATTCACCAGTCAGTGAGCATTTGAATGTTTCCGTATTTTGATTGGGTGCAGTGGCTCATGCTTATAATTCTAGCACTTTGGGAGACTGAAGTGGGTGGATCACTTGAGGTCAGGAATTCAAAACCAGCCTGGCCAATATGGTGAATCCCCGTCTTTACTAAAAATATGAAAAAAAAAAAAAATTAGTGGGGTGTGGTGACAGATGCCTGTAATCCCAGCTACTCAGAAGGCTGAGACAGGATAGGCAGAGGTTTCAGTGAGCTGAGATTATCGTCCACTGCACTCCAGCCTGGGCAACAGATCGAGGCTCCATATCAAAAAAAAAAAAAAAAAAAAAAAAATTACATGTAAGTCTTTGTGTGTACATTGTTTTATTTCTCTTGGATGGATATCTAGGAATGGAATTGCTGAATCATATGGTAAGTTTAACACTTAAGAAAACTACAAAACTTCTCTGAAGTGGCAGTACCATTTTATACTCTCACCAGCAAAGTATGATGATTCTATTTTCTCTACTTCCTCCTAAACACCTGTTATTGTCTGGCTTTTTAATTATAGCCATTCTAGTGGGTGTAAAGTGCGTATTTTGGTTTTTAATTTGCATTTCTCTAATGAGTAATGAGGCATTTTTTAAATGTACTTATTAGCCATTTATCTTTTTTGATAGGTCTATTTTAAATTTTTTGCCCATTGGGTTGTCTTATTGAGTTGTAAGAATTTTTTATGTATTCTTGATATGAATCTTTTATCAGATATATGATTTGCAAATATTTTCTCTCAGTCTGTGGATTTCTTTTCATTTTCTTAATGATGTCTTTTGAGGTATAATAGCTTCTTTAAATTTTGATGAAATCCATTTTGTCAGTTTTTTTTATTTCTAGATGATGCTTTTAGTGTTGCATTCCAGAAATTTTTCTCTGTCCCAAGGTCATGAAAATATTATTTTATGTTTTCTTCTAGAAGTTCTATAGTTTTAGCTCTTACATTAGGTCAGTGGTTCCTTGTGAGTTAAGTTTGTGTGCAGTATATGGGGTAAATGTTTACATTAAGTTTTTTGCATATAGAAATCCAATTGGCTTTACCATTTGTTGAAAAGAGTATCATTTCTTTGGTGAATTAACATCTTTGTCAGAACTCAGTTGACCATAAATGCCAGGGTTTATTAAGGAGAATTGACTCACATGATCACAAGGTAAAGTTCTACAATAGGCCATCTGCAAGTTGAGGAGCAAGGAAGCCAGGGATGGATCAGCCTGAGTCCCAAAACCTCAAAAGTAGGCAAGCTGACAGTGCAGCCTTCAGTCTGTGGCCAAAGGCCCAAGAGCGCCTGGCAGATCATTGGTGTAAGTCTATGAGTCCAGAAGCTGAAGAATTTGGAGTCTGATGTTTGAGAACAGGAAGCATCTAGCACAGGAAAAAGATGAAGGTCAGAAGACTCAGCAAGTCTGCTCTTCCATCTTCTGCCAGCCTGCTTTATTTTAGCCACGCTGGCAGCTGATTAGATGGTGTCTACCCAGATTGAGAGTGGATCTGCCTCTCCCAGTCCACTGACTCAAATGTTAATCTCCTTTGCAACAGCCTCACAGAAACACCAGGAAACAATACTTTGTACCCTTTAGTCCACTCAATTTGTTGCTCAGTATTAACCATCACAGCACCGAATATTACTTCATTGTCTTGGTTGTACCACAGTTTATCTGTTCACTTACCGAAGAACTTTTTGGTTGCTTCCAAGTTTGAGCAATTAAGAATAAAGCTGCTATAAACATTCATGTGCAGATTTTTTATGTGGATATAATTTTAATCTCATTTGAATAAATAACAAGAAACATGATTGCTAGATTGTATTGTAAGAGTATGTTTAGGTTTGTAAGAAACCTTCTAAAGTGGCTGTATAATTTTTGCATTCCCAATTACGGATGAGAGTTCCTGAGGCTCCACATCCTTACCAACATTTGATGTTGTAATCATTTTGGATTTTGGCCATTCTAATAGGTGTGTCGTAGTATCTCATTTTTGTTTTAATTTATAGTTCCTTAATGACATAACATGTTGAACATCTCCACATGCTTACATGACCAGTCTGTAAGTCTGTGGCGGACTCTGTGTTGACATCTTTTGCCCATACTTTAATCAGATTTTTTTGAGTACTTTGTATATTTTGAATTTTAGTCTTTTATCAGATCGTTTGCAGATTTTTTTCTTTGTAATCTGTGGCTTGTCTCCTCATTCTCTAGACAGTGTCTTTCTCAGAGCAAAAGTTTTTAATTTTAATGAAGGCCAGCTTATCGATTCTTTCTTTCGTGGATTGTACCTAAAAAAAGGCATTGTCATACCCAAAGTCATCTAGATTTTCTCCTCTATTATGTTCTAGGAATTTTATAGTTTTGCATTTTACATTTAGGTCTGTAATCCATCTTGGGTTAATTTTAAGAGTGTAAAGCCTAGTCTAGTTTTACTTTTTTGACGTAGCTGTCCAGTTGTTTCCTGAATCATTTTTTGAAAGGAATTATTTTTTTTTCCTCCATTGTATTGCCTTTGCTCCTTTGTCCAAGTCTAGTTGACTGTATTTATTTGGGTCTATTTCTAGACTCTCTATTCTGCTTCTTTGATCTGTTTGTCTATTATTTTTTCATAATCTTGATTACTGTATCTTTATAGTAAGTCTTAAAGTCAAGTATAATTAGTCAGTCCTCTGACTTAGTTGTTCTTTGATATTGTGTTGGCTATTTTGAGGCTTTTGCCTCTTCATATAAGGTACAGAATCATTTTGTTTATATCCACTAAATAGCTTGCAGGGGTTTTGATTGGTATTATTTCTCTATAGATTAAGCTGGGAAACACTGCCATCTTCACAATATTGAGTCTTATTCTTGAATGTACAGTATTTCTCCATTTATTTCATTCTTTGATTTCTTTCATTAGAGTTTTGTAGTCTTGCTCATAGAGCATGTTTGTATTTTTTTTTTTTTAGATTTATGCCTAAGTATTTAATTTTAGGGATGCTAATGTAAATTGTGATTTTTATTTTAGATTTCATTTGTTTGTTGTTCGTGTGTAGGAGAGCAATCGACTTTTGCATATTAATCTTGTGTCTTGCAATCTTGCTATAATGCTTACTAGTTCTAGGGATTTTTTGGTCAGTTCTTTCTCATTTTTACATAGACAATCATGTCATTTGCAAACAAAGACAACTTCTTTCTTTGCTATCTGTATACCTTTTATTTCTTTATAGCATTAGCAGGGACTTCCAGTATGATGTTGAAAAGTGGGAGAGGAACCATACTTACTTTGTTTTTGATCTTAACAGAAAATCTTCCGGTTTCCTACCATTAAGTATGATGTTAACTGTAGTTTTTCTGTATCAAGTTGAGGAAATTCCCCTCTATTCCTAATTTGCTGAGTCTCACTTAGTTTTTTAATTTAACTTTTTGTTTAAAATACTTTTACAGATACTGATTATAGTTAAATATTTCAGGTTGCTGAAAAAGAAATGTTTGTCTCAAATTTAAACCTGAATTAGTTTCTGTTAGAGAAACAATTAAAAATTTGTTGTTGGCCGGGCGTGGTGGCTCACACCTATAATCCCTGCACTTTGGTAGGCCAAGGCGGGTGGATCACCTGAGGTCAGGAGTTCGAGACCAGCCTGGCCAACATGGTGAAACCTCATCTCTACTAAAAATACAAAAATTAGCTGGGCATGGTGTCATGTGCCTGTAGTCCCGGCGACTTGGGAGGCTGAGGTAGAGGAATTGCTTGAACCAGGGAGGCAGAGGTTGCAGTAAGCCGAGATTGCGCCATTGCACTCCACTGTGGGTGACAGAGCGAGACTCTGTCTCAATTTAAAAAAAAAGTGTTGTTGCTAATTTGTGTCTTTCAAAGTTATTCATGTATTGAGCCAAGGCCTGGGCACCACTTCACTCATTTAGTGGGTTAGAAGGGTAGATCATCAAACTGCAAAGGTTTATTTTCCTGCCTTAAGGCCTAGTGGAATTTGCTTTGCTAGATTTTCAATTTCCTTAACCTGTCATCACTCCCTTTTATATTTTTCCATTTTGGAATGGGAATGTCTATCCTGTGCCTGTCCCATCATTATAGTATTGAAGCACATAACTTACCTGGTTTCATAGGTTTACAGCTGGAGAGGAATTTTGTCTCAAGTCTCATCCATATCTTATGTAGTTCGTTTTTAGGTGATACTAGGCTTATGACATTAGAGTTGATGGCGAAATGAGTTAAGATTTCAGGGGCTGTTGGGATAGAATATATGTGTGTATTTTGCAGGTAAGAAGGATGTGAAACTTGGGTTGCTGGGTTGGAATGCTAACGGACCAGTTTTAATTGCTCTAAAATTCATATGTTGAAGCCCTAATTCCCAGTGTGATGGTATTTGAAGATGGGGATTTCTGGACATAATTAGGCTTATTTGAAGTCATGAGAGTGGGATTGTTCCCTTATAAGAATGAATGCAGAAGGAACTGCCAAACACTTATGAAGCCATCAGATCTTGTAAGAACTCACTCACTAGCATGAGAACAGCATGGGGAAAACCACTCCATGATCAAATTATTACCTCCACCTGGTCCCTCGACATGTGGGGATTACAATTCGAGATGAGATTTGAGTTGGGTCATAGAGCCAAACCATATCACTTGCCCAGCTCCCAAAGCTAAATCACTTTGGGCTAAATCACTTTGGGAGTGATTTGGCTCCCAACTAATATATTAGTTCCCTTATAAGAAGAGGAAAAGAGAGGTTTTTTCTAAGAGCATGCACTGAGGAGAGGCCATATGAGCACACAGTGAGAAAGCAGCTGTCTGCAAGCCAGGAAGGAGGTCCTCACTAGTTACCAAATCTTTTGGCACCTTGATTTTGGACTTCCCAGCCTCCAAACCTGCGAGAAATTAATTTCTACTGCTTAAGCCACTCAACCTTATGGTATTTTGTAGCCCGAGCAAACTAAGACTATTGCCTATCCTGGTATTTCTATAATTTTTTTTTTTTTTTTTTTTTGAGACGGAGTTTCACTCTTGCTACCCAGGCTGGAGTGCAATGGTGCGATCTTGGCTCACCGCAACCTCCGCCTCCTGGGTTCAGGCAATTCTCCTGCCTCAACCTCCTGAGTAGCTGGGATTACAGGCACGCGCCACCATGCCCAGCTAATGTTTTTTGTATTTTAAGTAGACACGGGGTTTCACCATGTTGACCAGGATGGTCTCGATCTCTTGGCCTCATGATCCACCCGCCTCGGCCTCCCAAAGTGCTGGGATTACAGGCGTGAGCCACCGCGCCCGGCCCCATTTCTATAATTTTTTAAATTTTCTAGTGCCTATTTCTAGTATCTGTTTTTGGATATAGATTCATAGCTGGGAAGGACAGTGAGACTTGTGAAATATCCGAAAATTTTCTTTTTCATGTAATGCTTGGGTTGGGTTAAAAGATAAACACATAGACAATCTGAGTTTCTGAAATTCATTTATTAAACTTTTTCTCTGTCTGATTTGTTCACAGATGTTCAGCCTGTTGCCTATGAAGAGCCTAAACATTGGTGTTCAATAGTCTACTATGAATTAAACAATCGTGTTGGAGAAGCTTTTCATGCATCTTCTACTAGTGTGTTAGTAGATGGATTCACTGATCCTTCAAATAACAAAAGTAGATTCTGCTTGGGTTTGTTGTCAAATGTTAATCGTAATTCAACAATTGAAAACACTAGACGACATATTGGGAAAGGTAATCTTGTCATTTTCCTATGTGTAATTGAATTCAATCATTTGTTGTACTTGCCATGAACCATTGTGAAAGGTGCTAGAAACATACAAAGAAGCTTAACACATGGCCTCTGCCTTAAGTTGCCAATATTGAAGAATGTATTAATCAAATAAAGACATGATCTTTCCTCATTTTCTTGTCCTGCTTAGTTTTTCTTCCCAGTGCTAAGGATCTAAAATCATACTACTACTTTGTTCTTGGAGTGTTACCCTGACTGAAACATAAGCTGTACCTGCCTTGTTCACAACAATATCCCTAGTAGCTAGAAGAGTGCTTCGTTGTAAATACATGGCACATATTTATGGAATATTGTGTATGAATGCTGGTGAAGGATTAGAATTTTATGATTACAGTATTTGTGGAGTATTTTGGTTTGAGATAACTTGTAAGAGTTACCATGATGTTGGATGAGCGGAATTAGAAATGGGAAATCCAGTGTGAATGATGTTCCAGTGGCTTCACCACCACCGCTCCCATCTTTTAAATTTATGCGATAAGATTTTATTAATAATTTATCCTGCAAGATAGTTGCCACAACAAACTTGGCCCTTTTCTCACTGCAATAAAATGTGAAAGTCTCATCCATCAAGTGGTCAGGAAGGAAACCCATCCCGGGTAGAGTGTATTGCCTGTTTCTTGAGATGTTTTTGTTTTTACCCCTTGCTGCATTTTGCTTCTTTGACTTGAGGGAGTCTTGGTCCAAAATAGGAACAAAAGGTAAATAAATATAATTGTGATGTGATTTCTTATAGAAGCGATTCAGAGAAATCCTATGGCCAGAAAACTTTAAGAAAGTTTTTATTGCATTTTGACTTTATTGCCAACTTGCCTTAATTTTTTTCAGTGAAGTGCCTCACTTCTGATTTTTTTTTCTTCTACTACAATGGAAATAAGAGAAATCTATTTTGTGAATTTTGAAATTCTAGAATCAAGTTTTTTCTTTTCCCCCAGCATACAGTTCTAGGACCTTTTCTTTCATGGGTTAGTTTTCAGGTGGTGGAGGGATATGTTGGGAAATACTAGGTGACTAGCTTTAGTTATATAATTTGAATATTTAATGTTAAAACAGTTTCCACATATTTATGTATTTTTAAAAATTTTTCTTTTTTTGCCCTCACGTCTTGCAAAGGAATGTATATATTTTTAAATACAAAAAAAATTTAGGTAAGATGAATCTGCTGTTTCAAAGCACTTCTTATAACCTAAAATTATATATGTAACTTTGGGGTTTAAGTGTTGCTGTCCTATTTGTGCGCACAAAGAGTGCAAAAGTATGTCAAATGACTTTATGATCGTTGATAGCACTGAGCATTTATTTGAAAAGACTCATCAAAAGAAGATTTTGGGATTTTTTTTTTAATCTTTCTTTTTTTCCTCATAGAGATAATAAATGATTGTTGGAAAAGGAAAAAGAGCCAGCCTAAAAATGTGTACCTTAATGTGCTGCCAATTTGAGGCTTCACTCTTGTAGATGCAGGCAGATACTAACCTTGTGACTATCTTTGGCAGCAGAAGGCCATCTAGTGGTAACTTCTGTCTAAAGATTATTGGAAGTTTGCTGTGGATTAATGAGTACTTTGGTTATACCATACAGTCTCTTTGGTTTCATTACACTGATTCTTCAAGCTGACTCTTGTGATGCCTGTCTTTTAAAGGTGTTCATCTGTACTATGTTGGTGGGGAGGTGTATGCGGAATGCCTCAGTGACAGCAGCATATTTGTACAGAGTAGGAACTGCAACTTTCATCATGGCTTTCATCCCACCACTGTCTGTAAGATTCCCAGCAGCTGCAGTCTCAAAATTTTTAACAATCAGGAGTTTGCTCAGCTTCTGGCTCAGTCTGTCAACCATGGGTTTGAGGCAGTATATGAGCTCACCAAAATGTGTACCATTCGGATGAGTTTTGTGAAGGTGAGTGGGTTGTGACCTCTAAAGTAATTTGAGTCCCTGTAAATATGTATATTGTGTCTTTAGGTTATAATTTTAAAAAATTATTTGTTAAATGAAAGTCGATGATTACTTTTGATCTGATTTAAGAGGTTTTTAAATAAAATTATTGAATTTATAATTTCAACTACATAGGATACATCTAAGATTGCATTTTGTAATCCAGACATTATAAAATGCTTGGTTGATAATTGATTTTGATATTGAACAGGCTTGAGATTATAAGGAATTTTAGTTAAAAGATTAAATTTCTAGAAAGCATTTGTATTAATCTGTTTTCATACTGCTAATAGACATACCCCAGACTGGGTAATTTACAAAGAAAAAGAGGTTTAATGGACTCACAGTTCCACGCGGCTGGGGAGGCCTCACAATTATGGCAGAAGGCAAAGGAGAAGCAAAGTCATGTCTTACGTGGTGGCAGGCAAGAGAGAATGAGAGCCAAGTGAAAGGGGAAACCCCTCATAAAACCATCAGATCAGTTGGGTGCGGTGGCTAATGCCTGTAATCTCAGAACTTTGCGAGGTCAAGGTAGGTAGATCACGAGGTCAGGAGTTCAAAACCAGCCTGGTTAAGATGGTGAAACCCCGTCTGTACTAAAAATATGCTTGTAATCGCACCTACTTGGGAGGCTGAGGCAGAGAACTGCTTGAACCCAAGAGGTGGAGATTGCAGTGAGCTGAGATCGCGCCACTGTACTCCAGCCTGGGTGACAGAGCAAGACTTTGTCTCAAAAAAAAAAAAATTAGATTTTGTTTCTCATAGTAGTGAGAAACTGCCCCCATGATTCATTTATCTCCCACTGGGTCCTTCCCACAACATGTGGGAATTATGGGAGCTACAGTTTAAGATGATTTTTGGGTGAGGACACAGCCAAACCATATCAGCATTTAATATTAAAATTGCTATTTGAGTCTCTTAGCTTCAACAGTTTTGATGATTATTACTAGCTTTCATTAGGGTGACTTAGCAGAATTCTTTAGAATATTATTTTATTTCTAGCTAAGTGCTATTATTAAATGGCAGAAGCCACAATTTTGCACCAACCTTACTATGAAGGATTTGCAAAGTTCAAAGGAACATTTCAAGTTTATCATCTACTCTCCATTGGCCTGATTTTATTGACATTCCAAATATTTGTGCATAAAATTTGAAAAGAATTTTAGTTATGTATTTAAGCAACCTGTACTGTATCTACATGGTACTTACGAATTTAGCACACGAAGAGCACCTGCTACATGCTGTGCATGGGGTTTTTCTTTTTGGTATTCAGCCCCTGTCCAGTGTTTTCATGATACTTTGCAGTAGGTCTATTGCATGCATCAGTTTACTGGTTGCCCTGAAGGCATTTCTCCCTTCTTCTATAGAAATGTGACTTTTTCATATTTATTTTAATCTCCACTCCCCAATCTTCACTCCCCTGACTGCCCTCTCTCCCCTACCCAGTTTTCCTGGGCTAGTACTACTATAAGCAGTAAACCAGAGAACTTGATAAATCAAGGATAATAAAAGTGAAAATTTTATTATTTTAATTTTTATCTGGAGTTTTAGGCTAAAGGTTTAGCTCAGTTCATCCCTGTAATTTCCCATCCTAAAGGATAATCCCTATGTGATTGCCACATTAAATTATGCGCATGTATTGATCAATCTCTGCAATGCCTTATCTGATAGTCAAAGAACTTAAAAAATATTTGGTTAAAAAAATTTTGACATCTTCTATTTTTACATAAGGCTATTTATGAGTTTTATTTATCCCATTAAGTGAGAATGTATCTCACTGCAGAAATATTTATATTTTAATTATGAGATACTGTACTGTGTCACCTAAGATTTAAAAAACAAAAATTCTGAAATATATCTGGCTCCAAGGGTTTCTGTTAAGGGAATTATATATTATTTTAAAATTCATGTATCTTTAAATAATGTAGCTGTTGTGTGGCTTTTTATTTCTTTATTTCATGGTGAATACAGTTTTGTAGTAGTTATTCTCGTTACATAAATTCTGCATATCTCTACTGTTAAGCTATCTTTTTGTTATGGTAAAATTGGTTTAAAGAGGGATTTGTGATGATATGTGTTCATTTTCATAGGGTTGGGGAGCAGAATATCACCGGCAGGATGTAACCAGCACCCCATGTTGGATTGAGATTCATCTTCATGGGCCTCTTCAGTGGCTGGATAAAGTCCTTACTCAGATGGGCTCCCCTCTGAACCCCATATCTTCTGTTTCATAATGCAGAAGTGTTCTTTTCAATTATATCATTAGTGGACTTGTTTTAATTTTAGAGAAACTTTGAGTACAGATACTGTGAGCTTACATGGAAAACAGATATTACAGCTTATTTTTTTTCTACATAATTGTGACCAATACATTTGTATTTTGTGATGAATCTACATTTGTTTGTATTCATGTTCATGTGACTAACTCTCAAAAGTGTTGTAAAAGATGCAGATGAAGTATTATGCCCCAGTTCAGAAATTTGGCATTGATCTTAAACTGGAACATGCTTTTACTTTATTGCCCTAACAATTTTGTATTTGTTAAATTTATTTGAAAATGCATCACATAATGAAAAGTTAAAATCGCTTGTAGGAGGGTATATACAGTGAAGAGTAAGTCTTCCCTTCTACTCTTGATCTTCCAGAAGCTGCATTTTTACCAGTTTCTTTGTCCCTCCAACTTAAAAAAAAAGAGTAATTCATTGTTTTGCTAAAGTGTGTGGTAGGGGCTTAAAAGAAACTATAAAAAAAGTTTTATTTGAAGAAACATTATGCACTGCTGTAACCAGTAGTGTTCAGTAAAAGCAAAATGATAGTTTTCTAGATGACATAAAATTTACATTTAATACAGATAAGTGTTCATCAGTATAATGTGACTTCATGCTATATATCTTTTGTAAAACATTTCCTTTTTAAAAAAAATTATTGCAAACAACTGATCTCAAGTATATGGCATTTACTCAAAATCTGTCATAAGCATTACTTTATAGCGACAGTGCATGCACAGCCTTGTTCAACTATGTTTGCTGCTTTTGGACAATGTTGCAAGAACCCTGATTTTGACATGCATTAATCTTTTATTTTGCACTTTTATGGGTGACAGTTTTTAGTGTAAACTTTGATAAAACACACTCAAGTGACTTGGACTTAGATGCTGATCGTTAACGTCCTTGGTACATTTTTTGTATTAAAAAACATAGCAATTTATAGATTACATTTTTAGGAAGTTAAGCTTTTTTCTAGTTTTTGTTATATTTTCAACCTAGGTAAAGACTGTTATTCTATAGCTCCAACTTAAGGTGCTTTTTAAATTCCCCACAGTTTTATGGGTGTTATTAATGCTGGAAAATCATGTACTTAATCCCATTGCTCTTACTTGCATCAGCCTCACTATGTAAAGACCTATGCCGTAGCTGTAGAAGGCTCTTCAGTTGGGCCCTAAGAATGAGGCTACTGATCTAATACTAAATGAATCAGCAGTGGATGTAGGGATAGCTAATTTAAAAACCCTCACTTGGCCGGGCGTGGTGGCTCAAGCTTGTAATCCCAGCACTTTGGGAGGCCAAGGCAGTTGGATCACGAGGTCAGGAGTTCGAGACCAGTCTGGCCAATATGGTGAAACCCTGTCTCTACTAAAAATACAAAAATTAGCAGGGCATGGTGGTACAGGCCTATAATCCCAACTACTCGGGAGGCTGAGGCAGAAGAATTGCTTGAACCAAGGAGGCAGAGGTTGCAGTGAGCTGAGATTGGGCCACTATACTCCAGCCTGGGCGACAGAGCGAAACTCCATCTCAAAAAAAAAAAAAAAAAAAAAAAAAAAAAAAAAAAAAAAAAAAAAAAAAAAAAAAACAAAACCCAAAAAAAAAAAAAAAACCATTCACTCATCAACAAATACAGACTATAGACTCTTCTCTCACTTATCAATGATGCTCTTTTTCCATTTTTTAAGTACCTGTGTGGAAGCTAGTCTCCCAAAACACAACCTTTAGAAAGGAAAGACATGAATGAGAACTCTAAAATATCCCATTAATGAGTCATGATTTTGGCTTCGGGTAAAGGACTTTGAACCAGTGTTTTTCTCGAGAGCCGTCAAATGGACACTTAGTTATGACATGAGAATGAAGAAATTATTTTGGGAAAAAAATGACCTAATTCACCTATCAGCGAAAGCTTTATTTTCTGGTGCCTTTTAAAAATATGTGGAGCCATGTCATTCTTCTGTTTAAAATGTTAGTTTGGTTTGATTTTCCATTTTGTCTTTCTGCTCTTGTGAAGAAAAAAAAAAGCATTTTTGAGGAAAGAATTATGCAATTCCTTTTGTTTTCTGTGTCTTATTTATTGCTTTTTCAATGTGCAGCCAATGGATGGTTTTGGTTCTTTCAGATGAAGTGCCTTTGTGTTTCAGTTCACAGTTCTTTGCTAGGTAAAAGAAATACTTTCTGACAGTCACCTGAGCATTATATGTAAGTATTACATGACATACATTCTGTTTCTTCCAGAGTTCTGTCGGCCACATGAAAGAGAATATTTGCTTACTGGTAGAACTTTGGCATTTTCATCATTCTTTTACTTAGCAGGCTTATGGCACGATCTCTGGAACAAATTTGTAGAAACAATTACTCCAGTTGAATGACAGATATATGTATTCAACTTCATTGGGCTGCAGTAAACTAGTGGAAATTATAGAATTGTTTTATTGGTGTTTTCTACTGAGTTAATTAAAAATGGTTTTTATTTGGGGTCATTATGTCACGGTCTTGAGTTAACAAGATCTTATATGATTGGCCTTTTCTTTGTTTTCTCTTAGGAATTAGTTCTCATGAATGACAGTACTAAAGCAATTAACAAGAGTTTGACAGAGAACCATAAGCCTGTTGTATTTCCCAAAAGTTGTCAACTCCACACTCTTGAACTAGAAATGAAAACTTTATATAATCCAGCTATTTTTACAGTCCCTAAGGATTTTCATATATCTATGTATAGGAAATAAAATTTGCTAGTAAGATTTTTAGAAACTTAAGTAAAATTCTGGCTAGTGAAAGGAAAGTACCTCTGAAAGAAACCATTTTAGCAAGTTACAGTTATACATTTTAATTTAATCTACAGAATGTTTTATAGTAAAATTTATTAAAACAGCACCACTAGAATCACATGGCATGTACAACATAATTTACTGGCTGAAACGACAGAATCTGGGAATAATAAAATTGCAACCAGTTTGATAATGCAAAAAAAGCAGAATAGAATGAAATCTCAGTAATGAATTAAAGCAACAAAAGGATACTGATTGGCAAAAAGCAAGATGCCTGAGGTACATTTGCTTAACATCTCTACATAGTATTTATGGTCTGGTCAGTATTGCCTGGCTAACATGAAATGTAAACTAGTAGGCATATTATTGATCTACTGAAACTAATCTTTTTTTAGGAGGAAATTTAAGGAAGACATCAATACAAAATGTCAAATATGTGTTTTAGAATATAAATCATTTTTCACATTTTATTGTTGCTATATAAAAAAAAATAGAATTGGCTGGGTTTCTGAGGTGAAATCCAGAGTAATATTACTAGATAGACAGTTCAACAAGCCACATCTAATAGCACAGATAGAGGATGTAGCTATTTTATACCCTTCGTAACATTTGAGAGTAAGACATCCTTTAGGATGTCAAGTGATCATTAAGTACTCATATTTGAAATCTATTGTCAAGATTAGAACTGGGGTTCATGTTAAAAAACCTTCCATATTACCTGAGGGTACCTGTGGGAAACAGTTCCTTCCCCTGTGGTAGTATTTTGTGGAAGAGAAAGTTTATACGAAAAATGAAATCCTACCAACAGCAGAGAAAGTAAAAAGTTTGATATACCTATCAAAGTGCTGTACTTCTGTAGAGAACATCTGATGTACCGATTTAGATCTCTTTCTTTATAATTTTTCTAGTCATTTACTTAATAGTACTTTGGATCATTATCACCTTTGCCACTTAAAATATATAAATATCCTTTTTACTTTGTGAGGAAGGAAGAATTTTTTTATAATTACTGAGTTCAGCCTTTTGTGATGACTTATATTTTGGACCTATATTTTAACTTTCAAGAGTGTCAGATCCCTTCCTTGTCTTACTAGTTAAATCCTCACTTAATTTCTTGGGTATGAATATAAATGTGTGTCATCATTATATTGTTCAGCTAGATGAGCAAGTATCTTAGGGTAGTAGATAGCCTGGTGGTTTTAGAAGTGTTTGGTGATTTTTATGGAGGGAGTTTTCCTAAGTGGTGGTTTATAGGTGGTATCAGATATTATTAGGGCAGCTTTTTGGGGAGTAATCTCAGGTCCCTAGAGGAGCAGCAGCATTTTTCTCATTGTAAGATTCTTGGGAGCTTTTCTTACCACACAAGATGCATGAATCGAATGTGAGAAATGAAGGCATTTCTTCTGCATAAACAAAGAATTCTACCTGCAGGACAGAAACCTGGACAGTTCTTTAATTACAGTTTGTCCTGATTACAGAGTGACAATATTTTTCAAGCCTTTGTATGTTGGATTATCTTATCTCCTAAAATATAACTGTATTATAATTGAAATGACACCCTAAAATTGGATGGTTTACCAATACCAATGAAAGGGATTTCACACATCAATTTTTATTTTTGTTTTGAAGTAAGAGCACATGCTATATAATAATTGTTAGCAGCAATTGCTATAAAACAAGTGATGAGTTATTTCTCTGAAAAGAACCAGTCCTAGAGCAGGATTCTTTGATCATTCATGACAGAATGAAAAAGGTTTGTGTGGTTCTTGTCCAAATAACTCAGTTCTTAAAATCATAAGCCATTATCCTTTAAAGGTTTATTTGAAGATGCTCTTAAAGTACAGAATTTTGTGTACAGGTAGACTTTTTTACCCCTCATTAATAGTGCCTTCTTAATACAAGCTGGTGTTAGCTATAACAAAACTCCAGTAAGGCCAAAGAATCCCAAGTTCTTTGTTTTAAAAAAAAAAATCTTTTAGAGTCAGATTTTCCCTTCTAAGAATCATTGGAGATGATATTGCGTTGATTTATTCATAAAGTACTTTATAGGAACTCTAGAAGATAATTGTTAGGCAAGTGATTTTCTTTTTAACATGGTTGGCTTAAGTTGTACTTTGAAATTCACTTATTTTTAAATTGAGGATTTTAATCATGGAAATTGAATGTTTATCTACCTGCCTACATTTTCTTAAAAAAATATTTCATATGCAAATAATGAAGACCAAGCCAATGGCTGCACTGTAGGTCTGCTGCTTATTTGTATTTGTTTTGTTTATGTTGTAGAAGTTGAAATTCTAGCAACATACTTCAATTCTGTTATTTTGATACTTATGTATTAGGTTTTACTATATTGTGCTTTTCAAAGCCATAACTCTTAAAAACTTTGTTTTTGCATATTGTTTGCTAATTCTTTATTTTAATAAACCTCAAAAACTGCTTAATGTGTCTTTTGTTTTGTTTTTCCCTGTTTTGGCTATGGATTTGGCCTGCTGTGTTGTCATGGGTCTCATAGCTTAGACAAGTTGCTTAACCACTCTATGCCCCACTTTCCTGACCTATAAGTAAAAGTCTACTTCATAGGAAGGATTTGAGGGAAGATTAATTAAGTGTAATACAAATAAAGTATTTAGAACAGTACTTAGAACATAAGAACTCATATTTTAAAATTGTTACTGCCTTTTATATTTCTACTAGTTCTTTGATTCAGAATAATTATTTCTGATGTTGCTTGACCTTGGTATATCAACCTTTGATTATCCACTTTGTGTTTTACCATGATTTTTTATTTTCTTCAGCCTTCTCCTTTTTTGAAAAAATTTTAAATCACAGACTGACTTTGTATCATTCTCACTGTGGTACACACTTTTACCAACCTCTGAATTACATGTACAAGATGTGCAAACTCATTCTAATTAGAAAGGAATGGTTAAAAAATCATGTGCCCTAGCCAGAAAACTAAAAGAAAATGAACTAAATATTTTAATCCTAAAGGATAAATGTAAAAGCATTTGTCTTTTGTTTGTTTGTTTTTTAAGGAAAAAACGACTTCCTCTATTCAAGCTTGTCCAACCCGTGCCCGTGGGCTGCATGTGGTCCAAGACAGCTTTGAATACGGCCCAACCCAAATTGGTAAACTTTCTTAAAACGTTATGAGATTGTTTTGCAAGTTTTTTTATTTTTATTTTTATAGCTCATTGGCTATCGTTAATGATGTGTTTTATGTGTGGCCCAAG